GTGAGTATTAAAAATAAAGCAGGAATAACACAAGGCAAAAATCAAATAAGAGAAATGTTCTTTCCTGTCTATAGAGGTATCAGAATGTGTTGTATACCAGGAGCCCTTCTTCATAGCAGTTGGGTCCTTCTGTGATCCTCCTCGCTCTCCTTTGGCTCATGCCACATCTTCCACCTCTCCCCAACAGCTCTTGAGTACTGCAGCCTTTTTATCTAAAGAGAAATGCACCTTGTTCCTGCCTGCACCAATAGACATTTTGTCCCATGCACCTGGTGAATGTTACAAAAATAATGTTTCATCCCCATGGCATGGAAAGCAGTTTCCCCTCCGTGCATCAAGCCTGCGAGTAGCTGCTGAAATCTGTCCTTTTTGCAAAATACTGAAATATTACACAAATGCTTAGATTCTAACTTAATTTTTAAACGGGAAATTAAAGGATTTTTGCTTTGTAGCCATAACCTGCTATATCACAGCACTAGTTAGGTGTCAGTACTTCTGGTTAAAAAAAAATAGAAGATGCATGCAGAATCCAAATGCAGGTGCACTGTTAGTTCAAATTTAGGCTAAAATACAGACTCACGTCAGTGCTGCCAAGCAGAAAAGTGTTTTCATTCTTTTTTTTTTTCCTAGAAATTCAAATTTGAACCAACGTTGCTTTCAACCAGAACATCCTGCAAAACCCTGAAAGTGAAGCTAATCAGAAATGTGTTTGCTTTCCCTGAGCAAGCCAAGCAAAACAGCCCCAAAGTAATATAAAAACAAGATTCCATACCTGTTTCTCTCTAGCCTATTTGTGTTCATTCTGTCTGCAGTATTTAACTTACTGCAGATGCTCTTACACTAGTGATACATTTTGCATGGACTAGGTGGTTGGTTATTTAGCTGTATGAGGTTGCTGGTCCCACAGCAACAGTAAATTTGCTTCCATGGACTTAGATGCGTGTCTATAGTTCGAGGAATGTGCAAAAATGTCTCTGACCTTGAGGCAGGACTGTGCCTCCACAAGGGACCGCAGCGCTCAAACACACAGCTTGTTTGTGGGGTCTGAAAATGAGGCAGTTATATTTTTAGTCAAACGTTGCGCAATATCCTTTTTTAGGTACCAAGTATCTGAAAACTTTTTTGCTTTTGCATTCTAAAATGCCATCGGTTCTTCCCTCATCATTTGTGTACTTTTACAAAAGCTGTCCTTTTTTTTAACTTTTTCCTGCTGCTTCGCCTGCGCTGCTTTCTAAGCTTCTGTCCTAGGTGAATGGCAAGTTGGAATAACTGTTCAAAAAGCCAAAACTCTTTGTATTTATATATATGTGTGTGTGTGTGTATATATCTATATATATAAAGCTCATTACAGCTTTGTTTTCAAGAAATCAAAATGATAATATTTGCATTTTCTAGGCCAAAAATTCCCATTTCTTTGACTTCATACGTTTGCTTTGGAGTGTGCCGGAGTTCCTGGGTGGAAAGCTGGCTGTCTTCCATGGGGTAGTGCTGCCAGCTGGCAAGTAACCAGCTGGTGGCACCAGACTGGGGCTGGTCCTGACCACCTAGTCACCCGTCTGCTTCCTCAATGTCTCCTCAGACTTCCCACTCCTGGTTTGGCATTTTGGACTGCAACTCCCTGTCTCCCAGTTTTGCCCTTGTGGCAAAGGCAGCCGGCAGTAGCCTGGGCTGCATTGGGAAGAGCTTTGCCAGCAGGCCGAGGGCAGTGATCCTTGTCCTCGGTCCTGGGGAGGCCACAGCGGCTGCGTCCCGTGCTGGGGTGCCTGGGACAGGAGCGCCTGGTAGCTCCCGATGTGAGAGCAGCCAAGGGCTCCTCACGTGAGAAGGGACCAGAGGCAGCTCCTCATGTGAGGAGAGGCTGAGGGAGCTGGGCCTGTGCAGCCTGGGGAAGAGCAGGCTGAAGGGATCTTAGTGCTGTGTGCAAGTATCTGAGGGGAGAGTACAAAGGAAGATGGGGCCAGACTCTTCACTGGTGCCTAGTGCTAGGACAAGAGCCCACAGGCACACATGGAAGCATAGGCCATCTGACTGAAGCCAAGAAGGACATTCTTGGAGACAGAGCACTGACACCCAGAGAGGTTGTGGAATCTCCATCCTTGGAGATGTTCAAGACCAATCTGGACATGATCTTGGGCAACGTGTTTTAGGTGACCCTGCTTGAGCAGGTCTTCATGCTCTCCAGATGTCCCTTCCGACCGCACTCCTTCCATGGTGCTGTGATATGCACAGGGCAGAGCGGCCTGGGACCATTTCCACAGTGCACTGCACTGGGTGCACGTGCCAGGCTCCAGCCCAGCATTCCCTTTGGATCACCTTGAGCAGGATGCCTGGGGCTGGGGCAGAGGGTGGCTCCCAAAAAGGGCTTTGAAGATGAGCGAGGTCAGCTGAGCCTCTCCCAGCACGGAAACCTTTTGACTAAAAGTCAGCAAAGTCCTGGAAAGGGGCTCATCCACATATGCCGAACCGCTGTCATACGGAAAGCAGACCTGCTCCGGAGGCTGATATCAAGCATCTCCTTTGAGAATGTGTCTGCTTTCCTGATGGATAATGAGGAACAAGGGGGTAATTTACAGGCTTGTCCTCCAGGATATTTAATCTGAGCGTTAGTCTAAGTTGATTCAGCATCACACTGGTTCAACGTGTTGGTTCCGCAACAGGGTCGCAAACTGGAGGAGTCGTCAAGAAGCTCAGAGGGGCAGAGCAATGGCCAGGGGGTCCTGGCAAGGGGCTGCCTGGGGTCTCGGTATAAACGCATTAAACACCACTTTTCACTTAGAAAATAACTTCCAAGGGGATAATAGAAAACTTCAACTTTTGTGACTTGGTTGCTTTGGCAGACTGTAGGCTTAATCAAAAACAGTCCAACTTAGCCAAAATGGAGTTTAACCAAAAAGAAAAGTCACCAACAGGTTCATTTTTACTGCTGTTTTATGATCTGTGTAATCATTTTCTCACACTGTGATATCTTGAACTCTGAAAGCTCTGGGTAATTACTACATAAATTCAGGCTTTGCTGTTGGAATTGCAGGTCCCGTTAAGCCAATTCAGAATTATGTCATTGCCGTTCAAATCAGGTTAGTGTCTGCCTGGCTGCAGCGTAACTGCAGCCTGGGTGGCAGAGGTGCTTGGATTCGGTCCCGCGTTTCTCTGTTGTCAGGTTTGCATTAGCCATTTATTTTTAAATAAGGTCCCTTGCAACATTTTTATAGCATTAGCCTCTGAGTAATGAACTCTTGCGAAGAGCAACATGAACGTTTCTGTAGCTATTGGGCAGATGGTCTCTGTCAAAGAGCCCTTAATCCATTACGCAGGACACCCTTTATTCATGCTGAAAGGTTAGGAGTGGGCATCTATTTTAATGGTCCAATGGACAGACTGGCATTTGGAGGTCCCCAGGCTGTGTGAAGCCTCATATAATACTGATGAACCTGGTAACTGCTGTTATCACTTCGAGGAGGGGAGGCATTTCACTGGAAAAAGGAGAAGAATAAAATAAAAAGCAGAGCATCTCTCTGTGTAAAAGCTGCATCAGTGTAGCTGGTGTGTTGGCAGCCAGACCTGAGGTGTGGTACACATTTTCCAAGGTTATCCTGGCAGGCTGGTGCAGGCAGGGGTGCCAGTGCCAGCTTCTCTGTGGTCTTTCCCTGACCCATGCTGATCCCTTGGCCACCCAGGGGTGGCTGTGCCTGGGTACTGAATTCCCTTGCCCCAGTGGTGCCCCCTTGGACACTCCGTGGGAGTCATTCCCTCTGGGATCCCGCCACAGCCGCTGGTGTTTTCCCTGGGAGAAAGATAATTTGTTCCAACCAAAATCCTTACGATTTGGGTTATAGCAAGGGGGAACAGTTACTCACCCAACAGCAGAACACAAGGTCCCTCCAGGCCCCGCACACAGTCCCACTCCTGAGGGTTACGTGAGGGTTTCCCAATGACTCTGGCTGGTGCTGCCATGTCCTGAAGCATAGAAAACTACTGTTGTCTTTCCCAAGGCTGTGCTCAGGCCTCTTCCAAGTAACTGTTTGCATTTTGCCCTTTGGTTTCAAAATAAAAGAAATCCAGAAAGTCCAGCTCTTCGGAGGCACCGGCTGTGCCTCTGGGTGCAGAATCAGCCAGCCCCATTTCTATGCAGGCCCCAGGCCAAAGCTTGCTGCTGGAGAAGGTCTGCGAAGCCTCAGACACCCGGTCCAAGTGTTATCCTGGCTGGATCTGGCAGCAGAGGTTGTCCAGGCTTGCTCTCCTGAAAGCCCAGTCGTGTGGATGTGCTCAGCTCCACTCAGGCCTGGCCTCACTGGGGAAAACCCCATGAGTTTCTTCCATACACATGTTAAAGCACCTCTCTAATTACAGTCTTCAACTTGTTCACACAGGAGAAAGTCCAAACTGTCTTCTCTAGCTGATGTCTTAGGGGCGGGTAAGTGCAAGAGCAATCGTACTCTTTTCCAGGTGCTGGAAAAAACTGGTGCTGGTGGGGTTGCATCCTATATTATGCTGAGTGCTTTTAAACACTAGAGATGTCCAAAGTAGGTAAAGGACACGCAGTATCTCCGAGGTGAGCCTGATTTCACCTCTGCAGCACCTGGTGTTTCTTTGGAGAACTTCTCTCCTGCACTGTTAATGTGGTGGTAGCTGCAGGGTCAGCCCGTGACCACTTCAGTGCAGACTGCAGGTGGGACACAGGAATAAAGGTGTGAAATCAGGTGCTCAGATTCAGAGGATTCTGCCAACTGCAACTAGGATATTTGGCAGTTGTGTCATTTGGAAAAAAATACAGGAACATCATAGCTAGTCCCTGCATCCCAAGTCCTGGGCTAGCTGCCCACTGCCAAGTTTG